TATGTTTTTACGAAAGGGTGAACAACACTGATCATGCTGGTTGCATGACGTAACAGTATTATCTAGCATACAAAACCGCTCATAATTCGTCAGAAAAGTCGCGGACTGCGGCGGACTCCGCCGGAGTGCGGCAGGGTGCGCCACATTCCACTAGAGTCCGCCGGAGTGCGGCAGAGTGCGCCACACTCCACTAGAGTCCGTCGGAATGATCGTCAATTTAGCCATATCTCGCTTCAGAATGGACGAATTCTGAATCCGAGGACACCGTTCGATTCAGCTCGGCGAGACGCATCATCTTATATATGAAGCTAAACGTCTGTTTGTCTGTTTGTCTGTACGTATGTTCCGAATAGAAAAAATCCATTTCTGAACCGATCCGTACCAAACTTGGCACACATACATTTCGAGCCCCGGCGAGTGTCATAGGCTAATTTCCTTATCGATCGATATCGATTTTACCGATTTTTATTGATTTTTTTGCAGAGTTCACCTACGGGGCTGAGAGTTGGCACAGGGGGAGGGCAAGTGAGCATGGGGATTCCGAATACAATATTAGTTTTCAAAATTATCTATTATTATTTTGGTTGAATTCAGTGTGCTGATAACAGTATTACCATTGATCTGTCGCTGATGACACATAGACAGTATACTATAGGAGTATGGTAGAGAACCACTCTGATCGAATTTGCTCTAAGATCTGCTCAAGATCACAATACCGCCCACAGAATATAAGAATTTCCGTGAACTTCGCGGAATTCCGGGATTTCCGCCAGAGTGCGCGATAATCCGGGAAGTTCGCGACATTTCAGGATCCGCGAAACCATCCGAATCACGCAGAATACGCAACGCCATAACTTCCTTCGGAATGAATATGTTCCGAATCCAGAAGCAGCATTGTGTTCAGATCGTCGAGGCAAATATTTTGATATACAGTATGCTCTCGATATCCCATTTCCAGTTTTTTCGAATTTTTTCTGTGGAGGTCCTTTCGCAAGGATGTAACGCAGCGTCTGTGTAACATAAAAGATTTCAGTAAGCACTGTTCGATAGTATTGTCTTGTAGGTTATCGTGCGTTTAAGAGTAGCTGCAGACTGTCTTCCAAAAGAGATAGAAGCGTTGGTGAATTTTGGAAAAATCACGCGTTTCTAAATTCTACTCGCCGTAATTTCCTTCGGAATGAACATATTCTGAAAAGCTTTGTGCTCAGTTCATCAAGGCAAGTCTTTCGATATACAGCATATCCTTAATATTCCGATTTCAATATTCTCAAATCTTTCTGTAGACGTCTTTTCGCGAAGGTGACACTCGCATTGCGGATATTATGTTCGCTTCGCTCAGTGACTCCACTGTATTGAACATGGGGCTTGCGTGTGCTTGAGCAATTGAATATCAAAGCTGTTTTGTGGCTAGAGCTCAAACCAGCAAATCTAACACGATAAGATCCATTAAGAATGTGAAAAGATTTGATCAGCGTGTTGTACAAGCGCTCATGGTGGAATTTCAACGAAATATGCGATCTTTACATTTTGGGCAAAATTCATGAGAACGTGTTTTCGTAGGCTCGTAACTCGGCGAATTTTATAGACTGGAGCCTGAATCATGCACCATTCGATAGCACATCTCCTAGTAACTTTGACTAAAAAGCAAGCAGGCAGGTTCTCTGACAGATACGTGAGAGGTGGAAACGAAGTTACGAGCTTTCGTGAATTCGTTGCAGTTATCTCACCATATCTCTGCAAAAAGACCCTATACTTGACAGAGAACACGATTTTCATAAGCAGCGTGTTCGAAAACATCTATGAGCGGCGTTCCTTTACAATTCAAGATCATCAACATTTTGACCAAAATCCACGGCCAGCTTTAGAGCGTAAAACAAGAAAAAATGAAATCACCCGAACATCTCGAAAAACTTGTTCATAAGGGTTATCCGACCTGGTGATTACAAAACTCACATCTGCTTAGCAAGATAGCCTCGTATTGAGTTGCGACGAGTAGAATTTGGGACAAAAAGATTTTTTCGATTTACCAGCCTTTCTACCTCCATTGGAAAGATGCCTGTGACTACTTTTTAGCACTACGTAATCTACAGGAAAAATACTATCGAAAGATCCTTGCTGGAGTCTAGTAGGGCAATGCGCGCTGCTTTACACCTTCACGAAAAGACGTCTACAGAAAGATTTGAGAATATTGAAATCGGAATACTAAGGATATGCTGTATATCGAGAGACTTGCTTTGATGAACTAAGCACAAAGCTTTCTTCGGATTCAGAATATGTTCATTCCGAAGGAAATTACGGCGAGTAGAATTTAGAAACGCGTGATTTTTCCAAAATTCATCAACGCTTCTATCTCTTTTGGAAGACAGTTTGCAGCTAATCTTGAACGCACGATAACCTACAAGACAGTACTATCGAACAGTGCTTACTGAAATCTTTTATGTTACACAGACGCTGCGTTACATCCTTGCGAAAGGACCTCCACAGAAAAAATTCGAAAAAACTGGAAATGGGATATCGAGAGCATACTGTATATCAAAATATTTGCCTCGACGATCTGAACACAATGCTGCTTCTGGATTCGGAACATATTCATTCCGAAGGAAGTTATGGCGTTGCGTATTCTGCGTGATTCGGATGGTTTCGCGGATCCTGAAATGTCGCGAACTTCCCGGATTATCGCGCACTCTGGCGGAAATCCCGGAATTCCGCGAAGTTCACGGAAATTCTTATATTCTGTGGGCGGTATTGTGATCTTGAGCAGATCTTAGAGCAAATTCGATCAGAGTGGTTCTCTACCATACTCCTATAGTATACTGTCTATGTGTCATCAGCGACAGATCAATGGTAATACTGTTATCAGCACACTGAATTCAACCAAAATAATCTTATATATAAAGTTGAATGTCTGTTTGTCTGTCTGTATGTATGTCTGTCTGTCTGTGCGTATGTTTCGAATAGAAAATTCCATTTCTGAACCGATTCGGACCAAACTTGGCACACATACACCTTGGGCCCCGGCGGGTGTCATAGGCTACTTTTCGTCATCGATCGATATCGATTTTATCGATTTTTATCGATTTTTTTGCAGAGTCTACCTACGGGGCTGGGAGTTGGCATAGGGGGGTAAGTGACCATGGGGATTCCAAATGCAACATTAGTTTTCAGAATTATTGATTACTTTTATCGATTTCATCGATTTTTTGCGAAGTTTGAGCTACGGGGCTGGGAGTTGGCACAGGGGGGTAATCGAGCATGCTGATCAACCCCGTGGGGGTGATCAGCATGCTCGATTACACCCCTCTGCCAAATTCCAGCCCCTAGCTCAAATTTTGCAAAAAAACAATAAATCGACATCGATCGATAACGAAAAGTAGACTGTGACACCCGCCGGGGCCCGAAGTGTATGTGTGCCAAGTTTGGTGCGGATCGGTTCAGAAATGGAATTTTCTGTTCGGAACATACGTACAGACAAACAGACAAACAGAAGTTCAGCTTCGTATATAAGATGATGCGTCTCGCCGAGCTGAATCGAACGGTGTCCTCGGATTCAGAATTCGTCCATTCTGAAGCGAGATATGGCTAAATTGACGATCATTCCGACGGACTCTAGTGGAGTGTGGCGTACTCTGCCGCACTCCGGCGGAGTCTGCCGCAGTCCGGCGACTTTCTTGACGAATTATGAGCGGTATTGTATCTGCAGCTTTTTTGACCTGAAGTGAAACTGTTTCAAGTTTGGCATAACTTCATCTCCTCACAAGAACATATCGTCGTTTCCCCGAGATAGATGGGGCGTGTCGCTGCACAATTCTGCAAGTGTACGTAGTTGATACGGTATTGGCCGCGGCGCATAATCGATAGCGTCGAACAGCTGATGATTTTCCGACGCTGCAGCAATAGGTGGGTTTTCTTTGCTTAATCATGTTTTTTTTCTTCAGGTAAATTGCTAAAGGTGAGTCGTGATTGTTCTTTTACACGTATTTCACATTATTTTCTCAGTTTTGGCGCATTGTTGGTGCGTATATTGCAGTCTGCGTGCATAAGTGCTTTCACTTCTTTTTTTACTTGTTTTGTATTTAGTAAATTTCCTTTTAATAATTTATCGTTTATCACTTCATTGTGCTTACCTGTGTTTCCTGTTCATGTTGTTTTGTTGAGGTTCCAAGTTTGTTATCGGAGCTGAGTCTCACCTCCGATCACAAACCTGGAATCTGAACAAAACAACATGAACAGAAAACACAGGTAAGCATAATGCTATCAAATTCAGCGAAATAGTAAGAGAAAATCTGCTAAAAACGACACATGAGTTAAAAAAAAGAAGTGAAAGCACGCATGGTGCACGCAGAGTGCATCATCCGCACCAACAATGCGCCAAAACTATGAATATACAATGAAACAAGCGTAAATGAACAATAAGGACTCACCTTTAGCAATTTACAGCGAAACCCGAAAAAAAGCATGATTAAGCAAAGAAAACCCACCAATCGCTGCAGCGTCGGAAAATCATCAACTGTTCGGCGCTATCGATTATGCGCCGCGGCTAATACCGTATCAATTACGAACACTTGCGGACTTGTGCAGCGACACGCCCCATCTATCTCGGGGAAACGACGATATGACATGTGGGCTAGGTTCAAAACAAAGAACTTTTGAATATTTTTCCCATAAAACCTCTCTACACTTCATATTTATGATAAACAATGATTAAATTCTTCAATCTTGATATATTCTGTAAAACTTCCTAAGAAACTGTCATCATTAGTCATTCGGCATGTTGAAAGATTACCTATGGTGAAGTAAATTTCAGCAATCGCTGAGGTGTTTAGCACACCGTGTTAATCGCAGGGTGACTTTAAGATATGCTAGCAAAATTAAGAGCAAAAGGAAAGGTAAGAGGCAGCCCTATTGCCTTTTTTGGTCGCGTTAGCGCCGGACACCGACGGATAGGTGGTTTTTGGTCCACACGTTGAGAAAATTGTAGCATAAAGAGTAGAAATACTTACTTGCAATCTATCAACTCAACCATCGTTTCGCGACCGATTTCGATAAGTCCACATCCTTTTTCATCACGTACCACTTTGGCTAGAGAAAAAAGAATTGTTTTGTATGCACAAAAGATGGATCAGAAGCTTTTCTCCAAATGAAAAACCTTGTGAGAAAACGCAAGAATTTTGTACAAAGGCAGCATATTTCTTAAGATCGTGATTCCACAAATGATGGTAAAAATATTACATCAGGCGATGGCACAACTATTATTGCAAACAGTCGAATACCGTCGCTGTGCTATCAACTTTCAAATCCGATTTAGATCATTATAGGCAGCATCTAGGTAAAATTTCAATTTCTGGTTTTTGCGTATTCGCCACTTTTTGAGACGCCTGTTTCATGTATAAAGTTTGTATCACTTCAAAAGAGCGACGCGAATTTTCTGACAGTGAGATGAGAGAAAATTGCGACGATTTGCTGAGCCACGTATGGACTAACAAGAAACGGTTAGCGATGCATCGAACCTGACAGCTAGCACGGACGAGGTGCATGGGTGGGATGCATGCATTCGACGTGTCACTTGTCTTTTCGTAGATTCGCGACGCGGCAGATTTGTCGCCCAGCCCTTGAGACTTACCGAAGAAAAGGATGATAGAAAGAAACTGTAAGTGCAATACCGTCATCGAACTTGATTCTGACCAAATAATCCACAATTCTCACTGACCTATGATAACTGTTGACAGACAAGCGCATACATGTTCCAGATCTCTGCATGATCGCAAAGTTCCACGTTCGACCATTGATCGTGCATTGAGTTTCAGCTTTGTCTTTCCTTTCAAGGCTTCCTTGATTAGAAGTTACCTTTAGCTGAAGCGGTTCTGAAAAGTACGGAATATTTAACTGGGAAGCCTTGTGGCATCCTGCTTAAACAATGGCCGCATAAACATGACCTCATGCGGACATCCGCGCCGGCCAGCGACCATGCGACGACGGCCTTCCGGCCGGCGGCCGGGCCATTATTTTAAGTGGGGCCTAATGCCGGGCGGCGAGCGGAAGAGAGGATCGTACCGGCTGGCGGCCGTTCCAGTGAGCAAAAACACGAGGAGCGCAAGGGGTTAGCATACAGTAAGAGAATAATTTCAGAGATCGTTTGATTGAACTTGCTAAGTACCGGGCTCGCCTTTGTTTATTCCCCTTTGTTGTTTCCGGTTACGTCATGTTTGTACGGTCGGTGTCACACACCCCCTTTCGCGTAAGAATTACGAGTGCGCAACACGAGGGCTTTCACGCGAAACTCCAATCGATGAGTCCAATTTGAATGCGCGAATCATGCGCGCGCGGACGTGGCGCGAAGCTCTAGCGTGGCGATTGCGCACAGAAAAGGGAGCACGTGATTGACATCGAGTGTAAGTCTGGCCCTGAAAGAGTAATGATTAAACTTTAGGTCCCTTAGAGATTTGCTATTCGATGTAGCCCATCCTTACTTTGATTCCGCTCTATTTTCAGATTTCGAAAACTTTCTGATGCTTGCAAACCTTCTTTCTACTTTCCCACTCTTAAACTGTATGGTGATGGAGAGCATCAATGAATTCACTTTCTGTGAGGTAAAAATGTATCGCGTCAGCTTTTTGGGTAAAACTTAACTTCCGAAAGTTACCTGAGAAAGTGGGAATTTCAAGCATGGGTCTTCCGATCTTGATGTGTCTTTCTTTGCATCTGGAGGGGGAGGGGTGGGAGAAGGGGATGTTGTTACATGTTTGGGTCATTGTCACTAACCAGACTTGAGATACTTGGCGGACTGATGGTGTGCATTAATGCAGCTTGATCATTCACATCGTTTTGTCGAAACTAAACTTGGTTCGCCACTGTACAATTGAGGATTTAAGACTTTCGCAGCAGCTATAAAAGAAACAAGGCTTTCGGCAATATCATGCAATTTTTAATATATCAACCATGAGAATGAAAATGGCAATGAAAGGACACAGCAAAAATCAAGTATGAAACAAAACAAGATATGCACTGAAAACATACAAGAGCAGATTCATGCATGAGCTACTAAGTATTGCCTTTGATTAGCCAGTGCTGAGTTAAGTGTTGAAGAACGCGGACGCAGCAGATATATCGGCGTGTCGAAGCATAAAACAAAACTAATATCGCTTAAAATATGAAGAAGGAGATGTCAAGTTTGAGCTGAAAATCTTCTCGTCAACCCATATGATTTGAAAAGAACAAATAAAAAGCCAGTTTTTGTACAGAGATTCAGTGGCAGGCATCGATGAATAAAATTACTCACAAATTAATGTGATACGCGATATTTACATAAAAAATAAACGACAATAGTAATGGAAATCTATAGAAATTTGATAAATTTGTCTAGAAAACAATAATAATTAAACAGGGAACGATACTTGGTGACCCCGGCCATTCATAATGGTTTGTATATCGAAAAATGCGCCTTTCAATGCTGGTTCGAATACTGTTTTCCACATCTGCGAAACGAGGACCTGGATGGAGTTATATTTAATTTTTCAAAAATAAATTGCGCTACTGCGTAGGGTAAAAATCATAAACAAAAAAATTTGACTTTCCTCTTCAAATGCTAAATATGATTAAGATAGGTATAAATACAACGTTATCCCTTTCAAGATTCTCCTCACTAGCTTCAAACGGTAAAATAATCAAATTGGGTGATTTTAACTACCCAAAAGAACGAAAATTTTCTACGAAAAAAGTTCATAACTGCCTTCATATGATCGTTTCGCAGATTTCGACCACGGATTTAGAATCAGCGTCTGAGGTGCACCTTATGGTACACATGGCATTCCAAATGGCCGGGGTCACCAAGTATCCCTTCCTTGTAAGGCATATGGAGAATGCTGCTGGACGCTACACCTCTTCGTGTCGCCATTGTTCTTTTCCGCATATGCTGCATTAGTCTCCTATCCTTGAGCACTTTACATGTACCCAGGCTTTATACTCCCTAGTATTCGAGCAACTTATCCAGAGGATTTGGTCTTCCTCGTCCTCTTCTGGGGCCCTTTTTCCACAAATAAAACATGTCAGCAGGAGCACGCGCTCCGTGTCCAGTAATCGCTTAACCCGCTGATCCACTTCTGCAAATTCGGTGTTTCGGTTTCTTCTCTTTGCGTTCAGAGCATTTCTCTAAAGCAAAAAAAAGGAAGTACGGGTTAACTCCCAGGCTTGGATAACTTGCAGTTTTGAAAGGTTAAATGCGGAGAGGACTTGGTCCAGCACCGGTTGTCTGAACTGGAATTCTTCTGGCAAAGGACTGAAGGATGAGGTTTGGCGGGGTTGCGGCAATCAAACTTTGTATGCCCTTGTGGAGTTCTCTGAACGCGCTTACGTCGTTATTTTTGAGCATAATTCGCGAAATTTCGGCCAGCTGTGCTTAAGCCTGTGATTGGAAAACTTTATGCTACAAATGTATCTGCAATCAACCTTACTCCTTCTACCAACTGAAACGCCTCTTTCAAGCCGTCGTGATTTATCACATCTCCATGCGGGCCATTATTTTCTTGGTTTCCCTGCGATAAATTATACCTACCACCATTAGCGATGTTGCCCAGGTCGATTGTTTCCGGCAGATTGACAACATTCTGAGTCCGTTGTCTACTCGAATGGATAACACTTTGTGCTGAAATAAAGTGTGATATTTTGCAACAATCATCACAACCGTCTCTACCTTGTTAAACAAATGTCATTGCCGCGTGCGCATGTTTGCAAGAAATACCAGATTGGTAGCCCTCTAAACAAGCGAAACACCTCAAACACTCACACTCCACAGCTTGCGCTATGCGAGTTCTGCTGAATACTTTATGTATAATGCTCAAGTATGTATGCCAGTGTATGTTTGCAAGTATGTTCTAAATAAAAGATATCATTTCAAAGCCCGGACCATCTGTGCAAGATACGCTAGGGCGAAGGTGCCTCAGAACTTCACTTGTCGATCCTATCCATATTCATAACTTACTTCTGCGAACGCTGAGTATAGCGCCGAGAACAGTGCACTTAGATGAGTGCACTGTTGCGATGCTGCTTGAGAGTAAGAGACCATTGGTCAAAATGTTGCAGGTATAAGTATATCACTTTGATTACGAAAACGCTAAAACGTAAACGCAAAACTGGAAAAGAATTAAAGCTAATTCACCTTATCATGACAATCGCAAAGTCCATCACTTCTTACTGTGAAAGTCGTATCCCCGTTCTCTGTCTTGACTGTCCAAGTGTACTCGTCTTGCTGCGTGATATCACTCTTAATCAGAGTGACACAGTATCATATGACGCAAGTATTACAATGGTGTTTCATCGAGTCATTTGTAACTCAATATGCATAGTGCACACTACACACGCTAAATGGCGGACTGCAAAACTAGAACCTGCTCATTTCTCATTTCCAGTGATTTTTCCCTGCTTCCTTGTTTCTTTTATTCTAACTGGTTGTATGTTAGTCGGTAGAACACACTTCTACATTTTGTTAGGCTAAAAAATGTTCTGTGGAAAGTTAGTAGTACGGGTGCCGTCGCTAGTAGGGCTTAATGTGCAATCTCACATATTAAGTTACAAATGACTCGAGGTTAAAATTATACCAAGTTGCTTTCGTATGAAATCAAAGCTTGTTTGTGTCTAGCTATGTTCACCTTCCAACGCTTAGAGGTGGCTCCACCATGTGCTGAATAAACTTTTTGCTGCAGATTGTACGCAACTTTTCGCAGTTAGCTTACCACAGATAGTACTTGAAGGTGTCGATTTTGTGAGACTTTGATTACTGCGTATATCACATTATCGAGCCTGTTACTTTAATTTCCACCAAGCGTCATGTGTTTTAAAAGATTATGAAACGACTTGGCCTGGTTTGAGCTCGTAAAAGGTGCTTTCTTGCGGTAGCAGTATTATAGTGCCCGTCCATCAATCCTTCCGGAGAAATTCTTTCAACGTACTGAAAAGTTCTGATTTACTCAAGAGAGGTCAAAGCAACGTGCTAAAGCATCTCACAGTAAGCGTATCCAAACTCCAACTTTGATGAACTATGGCACGCCGAACCCATTTCAAAGTTGATCTTGTGAACCTCAAATAAGATCGCACGTATCAACTTTTCGGCCGTCGGTAGAAATTTCGCCTAAAGAATTGCCCTCTCCAATCCTGATCAAATCAGTCTAAAAAAACGACCTTTGTGCTTTCTTTTGAAGATTTGTAAAATATGAAAATAGCAGAGGGTTTTCTTCGCCCGACTATATGGGAAAAAAGGCGCTGAAAAGTTAGCGTATCGTCAGACTTGAAGTATTGAGGGTCGAAATTAGATACTAACTCCTTCAAAATAGCTAATAATGGAACCGAAGTATGAGATTAGGAGAATAGCTACCTTCACTAGTTGAAACAGGTTCTCCATTTCAGACGACGTTATCCGATATGACAGAACATGGGCACAAGGGAACCCATTACCGCTATCGTTGGTCAACCAATAGTGTTGCTAGCCGAAAGGAATATTTTGCCACATTGAATGTGTCGTCACATACTACTCCGCGTTTCCCATACTGTTCTGTTCCAGATAGCTTCTCCTTTAACGGTTATAAATGCTGCAAAAAGCAAAGCACTGATGACGCAACGCAGACACGAAGCCAAGATCACCTAGCATAAATCCGTCGCCCGTTATCTGTTCAGTATCAAGTAGTATGTAAGCAGCAATCTCGTCGTTGCTTGACAGGGTTTTGAAAGATAATCGATCATCGTTTGAGCTCCGACCCTCTACAGACCACGACGGAAAGCAATGTTGCTGAAGGTGGAGAATTTTTATATTTTAGCCATTGAGAGCATTATAGCATACCAAACGTCCCTCATGGTTATGTAGCATGTTCGTTCGTGCTTCCTTTCATCTTCGTCAGGATTCCATTCCGCGCAAAGCTTAGCAACGATCCTAAAAAGAAAACTCGTATGATATGTTCTTACAAGTGCTATAACCCCACCGTTTGAAAAGGAAGTCCGATTGGCAAGAGTGACACTATTTTTTCTTCATCACTGCGCGAAAGTGGGAGGAAGGCCGCACTCACTTTGCGACCTAAGTGGTCGAAGCACGCTGTAACGCTAACGACGCCGTCCCCGCGTACATGTGCCTTAAATGAAACATTGATGAAATGAGAAATACTGTTCGTATAAAGGCAATTACCTTCACAAAACGGCAGTTCTTTAGCACTCGTTTGGGAATGACATAACGTTTCCTATATTCTTTCTCAATTACACTTTCACCCCTGCCTCCTGAACGATTGCAGATGTATCCACATTTCCCTTGCTTATATTTATTATATTTCCCTTGCTGCTTTTGCGTATGTGGCGTGATATAAGTCTGGAGATCGTCTCTTTCTCTTGATTTACTTGCCATTAAAAATATAAGTGAGAGTTTCATCTACTGTGCCACACTGCTAGTACTGCAAAATCTTACTCTAAATCCATTCCATGAGGATAATTGCTCCTCACATATGGCAAACTCCCCGCTGTCACTATGTTGTATTTGACAATGCTTACACTTACTGTGGTGTCGCAAATGATATGGCACTCCGGGCATCAACTTTGCTTCGAGTACTGCTTGTGCTTACTACTCCTTCAGCGTGGGTCTGAAGTCATGAAAACTCACAACATCATGGATGGCAAACCAACAAGATAAGTGCAATTTGGAAAGTACTGAACACATTCGCAAAATGGGGATTTTATGCAGATGTTCAAGTTGCGCTCTATTGCGCTGTAGGACGGGCTAATGCCCGGCGCAGAACGGGAAAGAACGCCGAAGCGCCACCTATGTACAGGATAGGAAAGGTGCCACTGCCACCATAGGCGGCGTACTATGTCTGGCACAAGACCGGTAAAATAATGGACTATATTCTGAGGCGTCTCTGCGAACGAATGGTCTTTTGCTGTACAGTTACATGCTGGTCGAGGACGAGTGTCCGCGGAGGCGGTCTGAATATCGGGTTCGTTCCTTAGCTCACGCCTGATGGTAATCTGGACGCAAACTGAATTGTACAAAAATTGAACAATAGAAGTAAGTCTTGGTAAAACTAAAGCGTGAACTGCACACCGCTCTTCTCCAATTCTCTATTGATAGAAAAAAATTAACTTGAAATGAAAAAATGAAGGTTATTCCTATCTTTTCATGTCCGCTCAAGCCACCTTCAGAAAAGTACGTCTTTTCCCATAATTCACACTTTTTTCTATCCGTATAAACGCTCTTTTCACTGCCATTTTTACTTCTTCGCTTCCTCTTCAGTAGAGTGATGCTTCTTTCACAAATGCTTGTAGAGATTTGACAGTGTGAACGGCCCTTTAGCACACACAAAGCACGGCGACGTTGATAGCGAACCAAGTAGTAAACGAGAGCGATCTTGAGCGTAACAGCGATAGCTTGAAGTTGCATACAGTTTGGCAAACTAACGTTTGCTTGCTCAAGCTTTTGTTTGTCTATGGAACTGCGTGCATCTCAAGCTTGATCGTCGTATCTTAAAATATTTGTGACACATAACCACAAACGATGGATCACACAAGCGGAATATGCATAATTCCGTACACATGCACCACAGCTATTAGGGCGTAAAAAACGAAGCTATTGTACAACAGTTCAATGCACTCAGTACGAACAAAGCTAGCAAAAGCATCATAAATAGGGAGCCAGTCTAGCATATCGACCCGAAAAAGTGGCAATCAGACTTTGCTGAAACTTGTGTAGAAGTAGAGAGGTTATTTGAACGCTGCCACAGATATGATATTCGCTCGTTAAAGTACCCTTATGGTGAAGCTATGGTGGGTATATGTTAGGAGTCAAAATCGTATATCTGCTTGGATTGTGGAGGGGAGTAATCCTAGCGTTCTGATAACAAACATCACACCCAATTCAGATAGATTCCTATCGTGGACCACTGAAATCAAAAATGGCCTCAAAACCGGAATTGGGCTTTATGGATAAACTAGCTGGCGTACCCGGCTTCGCACGGGGCCAAACTTTGCACACATACACTTCGGGGCAGGGAGCGTGTCATACTCCACTTTTCGTTATCGATCGATGTCGATTTTACCGATTTTTATCGATTTTTTTGCAGAGTTCACCTACAGGGCTAGGAGTTGGCACAGGGGGGGAAGTGAGCATGGGGACCGAATACAATATTAGTTTTCAGAATTATCGATTACTTTTATTGATTTTATCGATTTTTTTTGTAAAGTTTGACCTGCGGGGCTGGGAGTTTGCACAGGGGGGTAATCGAGCATGCAGATTACGAACACAATATTAGTTTTCAGGATCGTCCATTACTTTTATCGATTTTATCGATTTTTTTGTAAAGTTTGATCTGCGGGGCTGGGAGTTTGCACAGGGGGGTAATCGAGCATGCAGATTACGAACACAATATTAGTTTTCAGGATCGTCCATTACTTTTATCGAATTTATCGATTTTTTGAAAATTTGAACTAGGAGGCTGGAATTTGGCACAGGGGTGTAATCGAGCATGCTGATCACCCCCCTTGGGGGTGATCAGCATGCTCGATTACCCCCCCTGTGCCAACTCCCAGCCCCCTAGCTCAAACTTTGCAAAAAAATCGATAAAATCGATAAAAGTAATCGATAATCCCGAAAACCAATATTGTATTCGGAATCCCCATGCTCGATTACCCCCCCTGTGCCAACTCCCAGCCCCCTAGCTCAAACTTTGCAAAAAAATCGATAAAATCGATAAAAGTAATCGATAATCCCGAAAACCAATATTGTATTCGGAATCCCCATGCTCGATTACCCCCCTGTGCGAACTCCCAGCCCCGTAGCTCAAACTTTGCAAAAAAATCGATAAAATCGATAAAAGTAATCGATAATCCTGAAAACCAATATTGTATTCGGAATCCCCATGCTCGATTACCCCCCTGTGCCAACTCCCGGCCCCGTAGGTGAACTCAGCAAAAAAATCGATAAAAATCGATAAAATCGATATCGATAACGAAAAGTAGCCTATGACACGCTCCCTGCCCCGAAGTATATGTGTGCCAAGTTTGGTCCCGATCGGTTCAGAAATAAAAATTTCTATTCCGCACATACGTACAGACATACATACAGACATACAGACAGACATTCAGCTTTATATATAAGATGTAACCTGCCGCTATTCCATAGAAACGCCTCACTCCGTATTACTACATTGACTCCATCAAGAGCCCCACTTTGCGAAAGAGCATAATATTAGGTTAATTCACAATTGATGCACGTTTTCTGTACTTCAACTATCAATCAAGGCAATTCTTTTAAAGACATTTCTGGGCGCAATAAAAACTACTGTAAACATCAAATCAGTGGCTATAAAACAGATACTTTTGCTGACTGTATCTGTCATTAAAAAGATTTTCTTGCCTGGAGATTGCCAACAGCTTTTTTCAGAAACCTCTACTTTGAGAGAGCATAACTTATGCTTAAATGAAGTGGGATGAAGCAGACTTCGCTCATCGTGTAGTCAAGGGTCTCTTGAGCAGTAATGCCAAGCTTGGATTTTAAGGAAATAATTTGAAAGAAAATATCGCGAAAAAGTCGAAAGTGCTCACTTTTTTCTGGCATCTCGGTGGGTTCAAAAATCGGTCATTTTTGAAATTATTTCATTTATCTCCACTGGAAAGTGAGAAAACGCTAGCGCTTTTCAACCATCAGATGAACTAGGTCTACCCTTGCTTGATAGTGCAAAAGACCTGCAATCGCCTTTTGCTTCAAAGTTTTATATGGCACGGAAGGGCCGCGATGATCATTAAAGTTCGCAATTGAATCTCTCGGCTCAGAATTCATGGAAAATTTTGTTCAAATAGCATCTTGTAGCACAAAGTTTTCAATCCTTAAGCATATTTTTCATAATTAATCCGCCTATTCCTCATGGATTTAGGGCAAAAAGAGTGAAAAGCAAAATTTTTCGAATTTAATCTTTTATTTGAAGGCTCAGAACTTTGGAATGAAAGGAGATGTACGAAAGCGGGGCCATATAAGAAACTAGAAAAAGCACTTTTTTAGATAACATAAAAAGTTTTTGAGGGAATTGATTACACATCAAATATCAGCTACGGAAGAAGAGGTGAGAAAAACGTGCATTAATTATGAATCAACCTAATATTTGTAATCAAAGTGACGAATAAGCCCTCTATACGAAGTTTCAGCAGAATCTGGGATCCATGCCATGCAACAAGTGGTTACAGCAACAATAACGAGTGAATATTGTATCTGTTATCAGAACGTCAGGAACTCCTTTACAGGAAGTTTCATCAAAATCTGAGATTTTAAACCCATATCGTAACTATCGTATACTTCCGTAAACAAAAAATAAGAGTCTACCGTGAGGAATAAATATCATGTTCGTGATCAGCATGCCAGTTAACCCCTCTACAAAGTCTCCGCAACTTTGAGACTTTTGGTTCTTGGGATCGGTATTCTGAAATAGTGGCAATTCACTGCACGCAGCGCTTGGCGGACGCGAGCGGGTTCTCTCTTAACAGGCGCTTCTGCAGTTCTCCTACTTCCCCGCGTAAACTATGTTGCAACGCAATGGCTTTAGTCTCTACGTGAAACGACACGCCTATACCGCAAACAGCATGACTGAAAGTATTACCTAGAAGTGCACAGTCCATAAAGATTCAAAAAGCCATCCACTGAGACGTACAAACACGAGTGTCGTGATGTGCAGATTACAACTATGAAGTTCAAGATTGAAAAAACACACAACTAGGCGTTCACAGTAATGCGAATTACATTAAAGTAGTGCTTGTAAGTTGAGTATGGAGCCATAAGCGTCGTGCTGAAAGATCAAGTTTTATCTGCATCAAAATTTTCCAAAGGGTAGTACTGTGCAAACTCGATTACCCAGCTGAACTAAACTAACTAACCACAAGGACCATTACGATAATGTCCTTTGACACAGAAATATCTTTCCAACAAATACCATCAACACGGCTAAAGAATACCTACCTCATCAGATATTACCGAGTGGTAGCTTTGCACCGGCTGCCTCAACCAGTTTTCACTTTATCCAATCCTTCGAGATCGTGTATGGGTGGTTTCAGACTGCGCACTGACCGCATCAGACTGCAGCTGACTGCAGCAGACTGCAGCTGACCGCATTGATCGCACCGGTCGCTGCCTCCTTTAGGTTGTTCCAAACTGCCGCACTGACCGCAGCAGACGACATCAGAATGCAGCAGATTGCAGCAGACTGCAGGCCGCACAGATCGCTGCCAGCTTTCGTAAAGGTGGAGAGGATAGATAGTTGTAGCCTAAAGTAAACAACAACATAGTAGTATGTAGTCAACAACAACATATGCCTCAAAAACAACATGAGTAAAATAGGTATATGCAATGACAGGAGGAATCAGAACAAGTATGAGACCACCAAAGAAAAACAATTGCCAAAATTTGATTGAGAAGAGTAAGTTAAAACCTATGAACTCTCTAGGCGTAAATCACGATGTTTTGACGTAATAGCAATTGGTTTCTCTTTTACGAAAAAAGGCAGCGATCTGTGCGGCCGTTGCGGTCAGTGCGGTCAGTACAGTCAGCTGCAGTCTGCTGCGATCAGTGCGGCACTATGAAACAACACTTTTGTAAACACGCCTAAGAAAATCATGAGTTCCATCACAATTCTTTTCAATCAAGTTTTGGCAACAGTTTTTTCTTTGTATGTGCGTATTTGTCCTAATGGGGACGAGTGGCGTAGTGGTATGAGGCGCCGCTATGACCAAATCGGACACAGGTTCGACCCCGCCCCTGGGCCAACCAAGCCCTCTACCCTTCGGGGCCGGTAAATTAATATCAGAGTAATCTGGGAGGATAAAAGCACTTACTTGAAAACGACTGGCTCCCGCAAGTCACTGTAATAGGCTCGCACGCACACAATTGCCTCTTCGACTATGAACTTAGTGTGTGCGTTCGGCGCATGCCCTCAGAGGGCATTGAAGACGCCGAATACTTTATCCTTTATCCTTATTATTTGTTCTAATTCCTCTTATCGTTGCATGTATCTGTTTTGTAACGTTCTAGCCCGTGTTGTCTATTGCTTTTAGGTATATATTGTTGTTATGTTTGAGCCACAACTATTTATTTTCTCCAAATATACTTTCAGCCGCTGCGGCCATTGCAGTCAATGCGGTCAGCTGCCTGCTGCAGTCTGCTGCGGTTATTGCGGCAATCTGAAACAACCCTATGCTTGAAAAATTAATATAGAAGCACTTGGACGTACGGTAACACCCAATTTCCATCGGCTGCGAGATAACGTGCTCAAAATAAACAGAGCCCTAAACTAGTTTAGATACTTTACTTTCGACTATTTTGTATGACCTCAGTGCGTGCAGAGTATTTTCTCCAAACTTACTATCATAAAGAATTTACAGGGCTTATCAAACGCGGTGTCGCTTGCATCAGCATCTCCACTCCCGCGCTGGACTCTGCGTCTCCTCCACGAACATGCTCTCCGATCACTTTCCCAGGGCAAGCGTGGGATAGGCGGAGCCTCAATCGATTGGAAGTTATTAGAGAGCATGTTAGCGGAAGAGACGCAAAGCCCAGCGCAGGAGTGGAGATGCTGATGCAAGCGACACTGCGTTTAATAAGCCCTGTATGAACTTTTTTATTACTACTTTCGCTCTTCCCCTCCCCTCCACCATAGAACAGCTTTTTGCAGCAGTCGTACAATGAGGTTAATTTTCGCGGCGCTTCCGATATATTATCATAATGATGTCGAATTTGCGAGGTAGCTCATTTCTGTACACTTGCGCTTTGTGTCCACCAGAAGTCTAGATTCACGTGCCTGTATGGAGCATGGAAGTTGACATTATGTTTCTTGAATAAGTCTAGATGGATACCTTTTGCAATCATGTTCTCACAATCAGAAACCAAACTGTGAAAACGGCTCCATTTTTCCAAAAATGGCGAGGACATTTATACGATAAAAGGAGAGAAAATCATAAGAACAATAGAAGAAAAAGAAGCACATGTCTAATGGAATGTAAAGCACGCGCCAGCTGAATCAATGTAATTGATCTTTATATTTTAAATCAGAACAAATCATATAACAGTGGCAAAACCTTTCTGCCGGAAAGAAAACGGCCAGTTTTTCAGTGGCAATCCACCTATATAGGCTGTACAGAATTACTGGTAACGACAAAATTTCGAGAGAAATGAACGAAATCGTATAAATTTCGAAATTAAAATGCTGAATCCTTTTGGGGCAAAGTGACTTTTTCTTCGATGCATTACGATTACCGTAACTATGCAAGAAAGGATGCAAGGTATTTTTCATCCCTGTATACTCCGTGGATAACCGCAGTGACATGAGAATTCCACTTACAAAAGTCATTTTGATTTCCCTAAAGTAAAGGAGATACCGAAAACTGGGGAAAAATTCATATGCCCTTCTTGATAGCGTGTCTGAAAAAAAGATGTAAAAAATAAGGTCTATAAACAAGAGACGTATTTGGTCTGCACAACAACTACTTTCAATACCTTCTCCGCGGGTCATAGCTTTAGCCTTAGAGCGCGGCAGACATCACGAACTTAGCTATCCACTATCCACTATCGTGTGTGGTGGCGAGTTCATGGTAATTTCATAGGAACAAATGGTTCCAGTTGAACAACATCTTCTAGGTAGAGTTTAAGCAGTTTATAACATTTCTGTTCTATTCTTTTTGTAGACTCCGAGAATTGCTCGCAACTACGCATTCAAGTTATGACCTGCTACGACATGCCGGGATTTTTTTTGAATCATAGGCACTGCTTCATTGTGTTGTTGGTAATTTAGCTGTTTTTTCCTTGATTTGTGATAATTTTAATATGACCCTTTATTTTGATGTAGCTACCAAGTGTTTAGTGGCTCAGACTGACCTCGCTACCATGTGTGTCTGCTTTTTTTGAGATATTCTACTTCTAGAGAGGGATGAAAAAAACGATTTATCTCACTCTATGACAAATGCTGGACTGACTTTGTCACGTCTGTTTCGCTAAGCAGGTAGTACTTTTTTTCTTTCAGATTCCCCGACGGGCATGACAGCGGAGTAATAGTCACAGATTATGTGTCATCAGCTACATGTGGTCAGGTTTTTCCTTGCTCGGTGTGTGGTTTCTTTCGGTAATGAAAGTAAAGAAGCACTACTATATCTAATGTCAAGTTTCGGTATGTCAGAAAGAAAATTTAGCTCAAATATCTCAAGTCAAATCTGAAAATGACATCTTGCATATGAAACGTTCTATATTTATCTTATTTCACTGAGCTCATAACAGAGAAGCTACCGAATTTTACAGTTAAATTGAGAAAAGCTTTTGCTTACTGTTTTCTCTTGACTACTATCAGGGCGACTTGCCTCTAAAAAAATGAGGTCTATGTCCTAAGTGCTAGCTGCCTGCTTGAAACTTGGTAGGAATCGGTAGATTAAAGCAAAAACAGCTAATTGCAGCTTTGAGCAGCTGAACAGCACGCTTCGCTGCAATCGCTAGCACTATGTACGTATTGTTGCCACTGTCACGTAAGACACCCGGCGCCAGTATGTTTCAAGCCATGGCGTTGAGTTCGTAATGTCTACCGCGCTCTAAGACTAAAGATAACCTGTGGCGAAAGTACTGAAAGTAGATGTTGTGCAAACCGAGTACGTCCAAACAAGATTAAAGCTCTGTTTATTTGGAGCACGTTTTCTCGCAACCGATCAAAGTTGGGTGTATACCGTACGTCAAGCACTAGTGGGGCAGACTAAAGCATCAGCAGCAGAATAAGAATAAAGCATTTGTGGAGTGAAAACACGGTACTTGGAGATAACAGCAATTATTTATGAACTTACAAAAATGATGGGAAGTTCGCGTATTTGTCACTGAAATCCTATGATTATGAAGCATAATTTCCTTGATATGGAGATTAGAGTTGCAGCAATAGACTTGCAAGACGCAAAATGGAGTTATTTCGCAAGCGCATTTTCAAAATTAGGGTTGGAAAGATAAGGTGCTTCAAAGAAGATCACTGCTTCAATTGCAAGTAATCGCTCCTAAGGGTTTTATACTGCAGTCGCTGCAGCTACTACAGTCATATAGAGGCGGGCAAAGGATATCGATCGATTGACTGCCGTTGTGCAGCGACTGCAGTATGAAACAACCCTAAGGGTTGATCTACGGTTACTCCTGCGCATCTCCTGCGCGTGTGCTCTCTGATCATCGCCTAGCCTCAATTAGGCCATGAAGCCCCGCCTTCCAGGCGCCAAGCCGTTTGAATCAAAAGATGTCTTTCCTTAGCATGAACGTGGATTACGTGGATTGATGAGGCGCCGCTTCGCTTAGGGCTTGCGCCATGGTGCGAGCGCATCGCTTGGCGCGACGTGGCGCCTGAAACAAAGTGACGCAGCTTTTCCACGTTGTTCTTCTTGCCACATCACGCCGAAGATGAGCACGTGGCGCGAGCCCGAAGCGAGGCGGCGCCCCACCAATTCCACGTTATCCACGTCATGTTGAGGGAAGATATATGGGTTGATATCGAGGGTAGACACGCTCACGTATCGTTTGTTCCCCAGCAAGATTCCCATAGATACCACGTCATCTCGCAGCCTTTCGCTCTTTTAAACGTGTTAACCTTGGGCATTTCCGTTTAAATCTCAGTAGAAACGTGTCAAAAAGAGCGAAAGACAACGTCGCCCCACGTACGCACGCTGGCTCACATGGGAACTTTTCTGGGGCGCACAGGATAGACAGTGTAGACACGTGCTCATTCGGAAACACATGAAACGGAATTTCAATGAAATCTCGAATTCAAAGTTAGTAGCGATATATTACCCTATTTTCAGGTGTATAAGCCGGACCCTTTTTGCTCTAAGCGCAAGCAGACCCAGGCGTGCCGCCGCGCAGGGGGTGATGCAGGAGGAACCAAAGGGCTGCCGCCTATATCCGCAGGAGGTAATTAAGAGCGCGAGCGTTGTGGAGAATAATTTGGCAGGGATCCAAGAAAACTCGGCAAGGACTCCTTTAGGAAGAATTCTTCATTAACTTCGCCTGGAGATGACTTTGAAAATTCTAAAAAACATATTTGTAATGCAAATTGAAAGGCGCATTCACTGGGTCTAAAAGTAAATGAAAATTTGGAATTGTAGTAATTGGTAACATAAGTCAACTACCTTATAGAAACTTCTTGTTTTGAATTTTTGAGTTTCAAATTGTTAAAGCCCGGGGTTTTCATTCAAAATTCTTCTTCGAGATAAAGAATTACCCATTCTAATTTTAATTTTGACATTAGAAACTTCATAAGATTTGAAACTATGTCGGTAATCCTTTAGGTCGTACAAAGTAACAAAAGTTCATGAGATGCAACTTAGTTAACATTATTTCCTTACTACCATTTCATGCTTTCAACTTCGTATCCAGAAATTTCACTAAAATTGTTGGAATTTTCACCCAACGTTTAGCTTGAAATTTCAGTTTAGAATGGTGAATTTTGAAGGCACAGTTTTTGTTAAAAATAGTTGCGAGACAGAGTTGTTCAACTATCAGGTAAGCGTATTATTGAAAACTGCGCATTTCATCACTGATTCCAAATCTGTCCTTCGTATCCTTGAAACTTGATTCCAAGGAGAGTTACCTTGATTCCAAGGAGAGTTACAAGGGTTTGTTTTTGATTGATGTCATGGCCAAGTTTTCCTGGATCCTTGCCAAAATCTTCTCCACAGCGCTCGCCCTCCTAATTATCTCCCACGGCTACAGGCGGCAGGCCTTTGGTTCCTCCTGCACCGCATCCCGCCGCGCATATGTCTCGCAAAACGGTCACCTTATCGCATACTGCTCTCACTTAACGCGCTCCATAATGACAGTCAGTCTTTTGGCGTGTTCGCCTTTAGAGCGAAAAGGGTGCGGCTTATACACCTGAATATAGGGTAGGTTGATTCATAATTAATGCACGTTTTCTATACTTCAACTTTCAACCAAGATAATTCTTTTTTGAAAAGGCATATCTAAGCGCAATAAAAACTACTGTAACCATCAAATCAGTGGCTATAGAACAGATACTTTTGCATGACGGTATCTGTCACAAAAAAGATTTTCTGGTCTGAAGAGTGCCAACAACTTTTTTCAGAAGCCTCTACTTCGATAAAGCATAACTTATGTTTAAACGAAATAGGATAAAGCAAACTTCGCTCATCGTGTAGCCAAGGGTCTCCTGAGCAGTAACGCCAAGCTTGGATTTTACAGAAAGAATTTAAAACAAGATTCGCGAAAAAGTTGAAAGTACTCACTTTTTTCTGGCATCTCGGAGGGTTCAAAAATCGGTCATTTTTGACATTACTTCAATTATCTCACAAGGGTGTCGAGTCGAAGTGGCCTTTTCAGATGTGACCCACACTGCTTTGAAGAGCATTAATCGGTGATTCCAAATCTGCTTTTCAAATCTGCCAAGCACCACTGGACGCCGAGTTATACTCTTTTTTCAGGTCAAAAATTGAACGCAAAACTGAAGCAAAATCGCCCAAATTTGCTCAAATGGTCCAGTGTCAAGTATCAAAGCTGTTTGTGCAATGGATACATTTTATTTAATATGCTAACACTTAACATTGCTTCATCTGAGCGCTGGAAAGATTGTAACAATCAATTTTACCTAAATTCTGCATTCATTTTTCATTTCGAAGAACGGTCATAACTCGGCGTTCAGAGGCGCTTGGCAGATTTGGAAGGTAGATTTGGAATCATCGTTTAATACTCTTCAAAGCAGTATGGGTCTCATCTGGAAAGGCCATTTCGACTCGACACGGTTCCCTTGTCAGCTGGAAAGTGAGGAAACCCTAGCGCTTTTCTTCCATCAAATGAACTTGGTCTACCCTTGCTGGATAGTGCAAAAGACCTGCAATCGCCTTCTGCTTCGAAGTTTTTATGGCACGGAAGAGCCGCGACCATCATTGAAGTTCGCAATTGAATTTCTCGGTTCAGAATTCATGGAGAATTTTGTTCAAATAGGATCTTGTAGCACAAAGTTTCCGAATCCTTGCGCATATTTTTTATAGTTAATCCGCCTATTCCTCATGGATTTAGGGCAAATGGAGTGAAAAGCAAAAATTTTGGGATTTAGTCTCTTTTATTTAAAGGCTCAGAACTTTGGAACGAACGGAGATGTACGAACGCGAAAGGACACATAAGAAACTAGAGAAAACGCTCTTTCAGAAAGCGTAAAAAGTTTTCAAGGGAATTGATTACACATCAAATACCAGCTCTTGGAAGATGAGGTGAGAAAACGTGCATCTTATATATACGTCACTAGCTGGCTTACCCGGCTCCGCCCGACCCTGTTAAAAACGACAAAGGTTCCATTTCTATCCCTGTACACCTTTACCTGTGCCCACTTCTACATGCAATTCCCTATTCACGCTGTGTGAGTAATCAGTATGCTCACCTACCTTCCTCACCAACCCCACAGCCCCGTAGCTCAAACTTTGCAAAAAAAATCGATAAAATCGGTAAAAGCAATCGATGTTCCTGAAAAATAACATTGTATTCGGAATCCCCATGCTCGATTACCCCCTGTGCAAACTCCCAGCCCCGTAGGTGAACTCTGCAAAAGAAATCGATGAAAATCGATAAAATCGATATCGATCGATGACAAAAAGTAGCCTACGACACCCACCGGGGCCCGAAGTGTATGTGTGCCAAGTTTGGTCCCGATCGTTTCAGAAATGGAATTTTCTATTTGGAACATACGTACATACAGACAGACAGACGGACAAACAGACAATCAGCTTTTACCCAAACGATTTTGACTACTACCCAACAAATTCTTATATATAAAGCTGAATGTCTGTTTGTCTGTCTGTCTATCTGTCTGTGTGTATGTCTGTCTGTCTGTCTGTACGTATGTTCCGAATAGAAAATTCCATTTCTGAACCGATTTGGACAACCTTGGCACACATACACTTCGGGCCCCGGCTGGTGTCATAGGCTACTTTTCGTCATCGATCGATATCGATTTTATCGATTTTTATCGATTTTTTTGCAGAGTCTACCTACGGGGCTGGGAGTTGGCATAGGGGGGTAAGTGACCATGGGGATTCCAAATGCAACATTAGTTTTCAGAATTATTGATTACTTTTATCGATTTCATCGATTTTTTGCGAAGTTTGAGCTACGGGGCTGGGAGTTTGCACAGGGGGTAATCGAGCATGCTGACTACGAGTTCGATGTTAGTTTGGCGCTATTCGGCTATCCGAACTTCAATTTTTTTGCCGTAGAGCTTGCTCAAACTTCGTGTGTAACGGTTATCTTACGTGCGGAAAACAAATATCACACTTTCTCCGCAGAACGTCTCCCTGTGTGGTTACGGTAGGTGCACGGTAGGAAGTCGAAATCATGAATTCGGCTGGAGTTTGGTCCAGAGAACTTATTCGACATGCTGATTACGAATTTCATACTCTCTCTGCATATTGGGACCCTTTCAAAGAGTTATAATGGTTATACGGTATGGGGTCGAAAACATAGATTTGATCTAAACGTCTAGGTTGGTCATTTAGCGCGCTGAACATGAATATCATGCTGATTTCGCAGGATAGTGCATTTTCTTGGATTACGGTGGGTGTAGATGGGTCGAAGTTCTAGATTTGCTCAAAACCTTACCTGTAACGTACACTGCGTATGAATATGATGCTTGCTCGCTGTCATAACGCATTAGTGAAGTTATGGTGAGCTGCAGGGTTTGAATGGACAATTTTTTTCACTTTCGGGCCAGTGTAGATCCCAGATATTCACGAAATGGGGAAACGGTTGTTTTGCATGGCGGTCTCCAGCGCCATCCTGATAACCTGTCCCAACGTGTAACGCACGCGGCAAATCTCCCTCCCCTGTTTTTGCTTAGGCAAAAGCCGCCGAAGGGTGTATCGCGAGCGGCAGTGGTCCTATAAGGAAAGCATTACGGTCGTGGGAAACTTTTATACTACACAAACTGCCGTTATCATGGGGATTAAGCACGATATTCTTGTAACAGCACTTTAAGTAATTCCCTGCCAAGGTTTCAGGCAGGTTCATGACTTTTCCCGCTGCCACGCGGAATGACTACCATATTCGTCATCAGCGGCTTGAATAACCCCCCATATACCGAGTTTGAGCAAGACACACCACAAAAACCTAGGGCCCGGATAGCCGAATAACGCCATCAGTTTTTAGAATTATCCTTACTTCTATCGATTTTATTGTTTTTTTTTGCAAAGCTCGAGCTACGGGGCTGGGGGGGGGGGTTGGTGAGGAGGGTAGGTGAGCATACTGATTACTCACACAGCGTGAATAGGGAATTGCATGTAGAAGTGGGCAGAGGTAAAGGTGTACAGGGATAGAAATGGAACTTTTATCGTTTTTGACAGGGCGCGGAGCCGGTAAGCCAGCTAGTCAATTATGAATCAACCTAATATGTTCGAATGAAGTAAAAACTTGCATTTAGGAGTTCTCAAGCACGCTGTTTTCGATTATGCCAATGGTTTTGCCCAGTACTTCCAGAATTATTTTCTTTTGAAAATAGAGTACTTCAAGTCTTCGATGTAAATTTGAAAAGCTGATGTTCAAGGGATTTCATCACGCTGATTTTTCAATTTTACAGTGAAGTCGTAAAAAGCTCTATCCTCAAAAAGGGAATAAATTTGGAAGTGTTGAGCAAAACCACTAGCATATTCGAAAACGTGCTTGAGAACCCCTAAATATATTTTAGTTCAGTTGGGCATGTATCGCTACTAACTCTGAATTCAAAATTTCATTGAAATTCAAATCCATGTGTTCCCGGATGAAGACAAGGGTGCTGTATACACACATTAGCTCTGCATGCGCTGCTGATCAAGCGCTAATTAACGTTTCTAACAACTCATGACCTCTATAACCACGCTGCGGCAAGTGCTTTGGGTAGATAAGTTCCCTCACTCATGAAGCGTAGGGCGGCGTAGCGTTATGGAGCAAAGCTATATACGCCGCATTCGCCTGCGGTATATCATGAGGACCCTCTGCGTTGTGTTGCTCCTGACTGCACCCGCAGAGGAGCTTGTACTACCCAGCGGATTGAGTCATTCTCAAAATTCTTCTTCTGTAAAGGAACCAAAATGCGGAAGTTAAAAGAATTTTGAGGATGAAAAAGTAGATTCTGAGGAAGAAGTGTTTGAAATACCACCCAAGAGAAAATAAAAGCTTGGAAAGTCAATAACGAAAAATTTCTGTCCCTTTTCTCTACCAATTCTCGTGTTACACCTAAAATAAGCCATTTATTCTCATCCGAGATTCGGCCTTTGCATCCGTAAACCCATCTATTTCTCGACTATAAATACTTTTATTGCATTCATGCAGTTTGGACATCTTCTCAAGGCGTAGCAATAGGGAATGGCTCAGTTCGTGTCAGGAGCGGCGTACTCCTGCGGCTGCATTTAAAGACAAAGCAACGCAACTGGCCCTCAGGATTACCACAGGGGAATGCGGCGCAGCTTTGCTCCATAACGCCTGGCCCCCAAAGCGGAGAATGATGGCGAAGTTACCGTCTACAGAATCAACTCTCCTCGGTGCTGATTGGGTGGAAATCATAACTGATGCCAGTTTATGACCTCTCATAAACTCTGCTAGCTACGCCGAGCCAATCCGGATATGTATCTAGGGTCTGTTCCCCAATGTTAACATGTTAAAATAATTAAAAGGCAGCCACGTTGATGGTCCATATGGGAACAATAGGGAAATGCTCCATATTGACAAATGAAGCGTTTTGATTTCTAGGCACGCGCCATATCGTCGATTCGTTGACTGTACGGACTGGACATAACCGCGGAGCACGCGTCGCGAGGTAAAACGCTTGCTCCAATACAACGCCATTGTTAACACGTTTCGGACCGCAAAATCGCATGCGGCAAAAAAGAGTGTACTTTTGGCCGTTAGCCAACAAAGGGACCTTATTTCGTAGACTGTTTGCTATATCTGTAATCAGGATGTCGGATAAGCTCTTTATCCCATGTTCTGAAAGAATTCGAATTTGAATTTCATCACTTGAGAAGGACCCCTACGTTTTCTTGAAAGATAGGGATAAGATCTTAATCTCTAGTAGTATCCAAAGGTATCTATTATGCTGCACACTGTACACATCACTACTACAACTAAGTTTTTTCTCTTTGAAATCAAAGCGAAGAAATATTGCGACATCGCACGCGTCGTTCGCATTGCCGCGCCCTGTTGCAACCGTTGTTTGATTTGCCCTCACATCTCCTAAACGTATACCGGCGGCACAGCTCCATAAAGTCAGTGACAAAGCAGGAGCCTAGGCCTTTAGCTTGATGCCCTTGCGCTAAAAGAAAACCTTGTGAACTCAGAAAGATCCTTCAAATCAGCGTGCCACCGGTCCGAAGCGTGTTATTAAAATCGTGCTCTCGCAACGATTAAACCGCGCCGCGCGTGGTCCGCAGCGGTTGAGAAGTCCGTACGGCCAACGAATCGACTATACTTGATCCTCTTGATCCACTTGGTCCACTTCGCGATTGGTCAAATCAGTGAGCTGAGCGATAAAGGACGGGACGTCCACTTTATCCATTTACGCTTTGCTACGGTCATTTGAATGATTTGACCAGTAGCGAAGTAGACTGCTTCGGATTGGTGCGTAAATTAGGTTGTGTGTGTCATTGCGTACAAAGTTGCGAACTAGCGCGAAGATTCATTTAGATAGTTTCCATCGCAGGAGAGGAGTGCCTCAAACAATTCAATGTAACTATGGTTCTTTTACAACAGGTGGGTTTCGTACTATAGAAACCTTGATTTTTTCACTCATCTCTATATATATTCTCTATATATATAAAACTTAAAAATTGTCTGTTTGGAGGGTATGTGAGCTATATAAACGCCCACCGCTCAACCGATTGGGCTTTGCATACAGATGTTCTTGACCCGGGGACGGTTTTAGGATACTTTTTATTAAAATTCGCTGGGTCGATTTATTGATTTGTTTACGTTTTTCTAAAGAATTGAAGGCTTATCATGTTCAATCAAGCATTTTCTCATAGTCATGTAAACGAGGGCGGTGAAGCCCATTTTTACCCCAGAATAACGAGATGCGGTCTCGAAACGGATGTCCCAGGGTAAGTCATCTATAACATGTAAGAGGGGGAGGAGTTCGCAGTGCAGGTGACCAATGGCCCGGGCTGGGGTGGGAAAGCCAAATAATTCTTTATAAGCTGACATTGTAGAAGCTCAATTTTGAATGTTTGTTCTAGTTGATGGTGCGGGGGATCCGAAGTGTTGGACCGTCAGAGGAAGAAACACAAGTGATACGCTTTCTTAACCCTCTCACAATCATTAGCGGACCGAATGGAAGCGGTAAAACGGTAGGTCGTCAGTTAATTCTTCTCAACTCTCTCCCTTTCGTATCCAGTGTGTATTCAGACACTGATAGAAGCTCTAAACTATATAACCACCGGATCACTACCAGCAGGGAAGTTGGCTTCATTTGTTCACAGTTTGGAAGTGCGTCTAAAGATTTGTTTTACTGCTGCGCTAAGTCATAGGGTTCAGGCTTCTCACAAAGCTCGCGTCGATGGTATGGTGAAATTGCAGTTCACGGACTGCAAGGGACGAACATGTGTTGCTACTAAGCGGGTGAATGCGACTCTGAAAAAGGTATCTAGTTTTGCAGGTATTTTCCGTACAGTTTCATATCCACTGTCGTGACAACACAGAAAAGCATCTCCTTGGTACGCTCTATTGCGACTGGTATGAGAGCGGATAAGGTCGTTCATATTGATCCCGAAGTCCGGTAACAGTTCCAACAGGGTGCTCGAATTGAGCGCTGTGCTGGAACTGTTCCCGGACATCGAATCAGTATGAACGTATCCTAAGAGAGGAGAATGTGCAGGTAGATCATATATCATGTAATGGGTCAAAAGCCCTCTGACTCATGTCGGAGGCAATGCACAACAAAACTGAGGTACCCTTTGGTTCAACGGGATTGGCGGCTGGAAGGCGACCGCTCGCGCCCGCGGCGCAGTTTGGGCTCTCACGTGTGCGTGCTCTTTGATCATTCTCTAGTCTTGATCAGCCTCGAGCCGTCACTTTGTTGAATCGAGGGTAACGAGATCTCGATGCCTTCCAGCTACCAATCGCGTGGAATCAAAAGGTAACGAGATCTCGATGCTATATAATAGCTTGACATCTAACCAGATCAACTTTGGTCTGAAGATATAGGCCGTCCGCGCTGCGTACGGAGAGCAACGCTGTTGCGTACATTGAAGGCAGTTCAGGACTGGAAGAAGCGCAGAGAAAAACAGGCGGCGAGAGTGCACGAGGAAAGAGGAGTGACGCGCATTACACACCTTGCGCACTCTCCGCGCCCTGCGCGGACGACCTATACAATCCAAAATGAGACTCAGAGTAGATAGAACGGTTGAAAATTTCATGATCATAATGAAGGACGGATAGGCAATATCAAAGCTCAAGTTTGAATTGGCTATTTTGAGACCACCCAGGTTGTTGAGGAGCCAGCTTTTTTGAAACGGTTTACTAGCTTAAGACTTTGTCATTTGCCGCAAGACCCCAGCGATTATATACTTAGTCAGGGGCCCCGCTGTTATACAGCATCAAGATTTCATAGCCTTCAATTTGAATGGACGGTGCCTTTGAAGCAGTCATCTCCTTTTCAAGCTGCAAAGCAAACTCGCACTTACCCCACAATGGCTTCGTGCGGATTAAGTTAGAATAACAATGAGCATATGAGCTCTATGCCATGCCGTCGAATGATTTAAAACATGCGTAATTTGATCCCCGAAAGCTTGGTGCTATATCTTGCAGGATGGTAAACTGCAGTGCAAGTCGGATGAGTTCAATATCCAAGTCACCACGGCTGATGGACAAGTGGGCAGCTTGTCATCGAAAGTGGCAGATTTTCAAAAGGAGGTTGAAAATTCCTTATTCTGTGTTTGATCGGATGAGCCTCCTGTTTTAGATTGTGAATCTTCTTGGTGTGCCAGCTGCTATCTTGGACAATGTCATTTTCTGCCATCAGGAAGACTCTGACTGGTACGGCCTAATCTCCGCTTCGGCAAGTCTAGCTTTATCACATCATTTCTAGGCCTCTCAGCGAACCCAAAGAATTGAAGCAACGATTTGATCGTATTTTCCAGCTGACCAGGTTTGTAAAAGCACTGGATGTGATGAAGAAGATGAAAAGGGATTATGTGAGCGTTTTATGTCTTTTTGTTCGGTTTGTGAGGTTTCATAGAGTTTCAGGAGATGGAGCTAGCCACTCTTGTTGAGAAACAGAACTGCAGAGAGATGACAGTCAAATCAAAGGGGAAGGTCTGCCAACTTGAAAAATGCTTCTCTAGATATGTATATGTTTTGCAGTACATTCAACAACGTGACTCTTGCGAAGAAATTCGTAAGGAATCAAAGGAGAAGATTACAGAATTAGAGGAGAAAGTAGAGGAGTGCAACAACATTATCAAAAACGCAAATGACCAGCTTCAAAAATTGGAGGCACTGGAGCGCAAAGCAGGTTGGACCAGCCATTTACTATTCTTCTTTTTGAGCTGAGGTACTTTGTGGTCTTCATTAGGCTTCCTTTCCGCAATTTTGTGGTTTTAGGCCATAGATACCTTATGTTTCAAATACCGGTCACCACTTTCTTATTTTGGATGAATTTTCACCTATTCAGAACTATTCTAGAACTCAAGAGGTCCGAGTTACGTATGCTAACCGATCAACTTGCAACAATTAGAGTGTCCCCCTATAATGGAACTGAAGAGGAGTTGAGGGCTGAGATACGTGAGGTATTTGTTCGCAGTTTTAGTTTGACTTCACTTTCCTTCTCTGAGTGGCATTTCTAGATGGATTCTTCTTCCGAATTTCGTGAGCTAGAATCTCAACGAGAGCGTTTGAGAAAGAAAATTGAAACAGCAACGAGGGATATAGTCAGGTTGAAAAGGGAGAAGGAAGAGGCAGAAAGTGAAATGCGTAAACTGATGAGCTGTGAGATGGTACGTTAATGTGTCTTGCAATACACATCGCATCTTTCGTCGAAATCTTCATTTTAGTTACGACGTGATCTTGAAAAAGAGGTGGAGGCCGCCGAGTCCGAATTAATCAAGGCTTATGCCTTGAATGGACCAAATCATGTGGCTGAGTTGCAGGAAAAGATTGAGAAGGACGAACGTGAGCTTAAGGAGCTTAGAGTGAGTTTGGATAGCCTGCATGTTGTCCTATTTTTGAGTCAGGCTTCCATTTGCGCCTCAAAACTTGCACTGCAGGAATCTTCGGTTAGCACGCGTGAAAGAGAACAAGCTAGGCTAGATGCAGCTCAGATGGAATCGTCAAAGTTACGATGTGAGTTGGATGCCGCCTCTGCTACTATAGAATCACTCAAACGTGAGATGAGTGGCATTGAAAGAAAGTTGAAGGATGCAGCCGCATCGAGCGATGAGTAAGTTATCATCTTATTCGTAAGTCTCTACGTTCCCGGAATTTCTGAGAAGTGCGGATTTTTTTAAACTTAGGCAGAGCTCAACCGCCGCTCTGACGAGTGGGTTGGCGATAGAGTTTGTCTACTCACCTGGGTGAAATTGTCTCTTTGGGAGGTAATGCTCGCCCATTTAGCAATGCTCAAGTCCATAGAAGTGATTTTATTTCTGGCGATTTTGAAAGGCAAATGGGACTTCTTTCCTATGTCGGATTCCTATCGATAGCATTTCCTGTTACACTAAAGTGCTGCTATGGCTCTAAGTGCATCTTAGGGACCCGTCATACTTCGCCGAAAAAAGCCCAAAGAAGCCGAAAAAGCCCAAAAAAGCCCGAAAAAAGCCCAAAAAAGCCCGAAAAAGCCCAAGAAAGCCAGAAAAAGCCCAAAAGCGCCAGAAAGAGCCGGAAAACTTCTCGCACGTTTTGGCGCTAAGGCATGTGTGTTGACTTCGCAATCGAGCCTTTTTGTCATTTTCTATCGTCCGCATGATAAGATAATGCCAGAATTCTACCAAAAGTTCGTTTCTACATTCCGGCTCTTTCTGGTGCTTTCGGGCTTTTTTGAGTTTTTTGGGCTTTTTCGGGCTTTTTCGGGCTTTTTTGGCCGCTTCTGGGCTTTTTTTCGGCGAAGTATGACGGGTCAGTCAGAGGCAGCGTCCAGGCAAAACTTACCCCCCCCCCCCTTCCTCCCCCCTTCCTTCCCCCCCCTTCCCCCCCCCCCCCCCCTCCAATTATTACCTTTCCTGAATATAGCCAGGAGAGAGGCATCTGCCTTGGTCTGACCCTCAATGATGTTTCTGAATGGAGAAAATGGAAGTGTAATCGTCAAAGTGCTATCAAGCCACGCCCGCCCTATTAAGCTCCGCCCACCCAGGTGTGGGAATCCTCTGGGCCTTTAGGATAGGGCTCCCAGAAATCGGGTTTAGGGGGGATTGTACGTTTTGAATTTCATAACTAATCAGGACCACGGGAAAGCCACAGAATAGCACAAACATGGAAGGCGAAGTTTTGGGTGAACCCTATCTTAAAGCGAAGAAAAGAAGGTGTTCACTGAGAAAAGGGAAATTTTCCATGAAGCCAAGCGTGTCTATTTAGTAGAGCAGCCATAGAATACTTGCTTCATCTGGTCAGCATGGCAATTACAGGTCTTTTCGTTCCCTTAGGTAAAATAAGTGTTTTGCCATGGTCAGATCGCATCTCTTTCAGAGTCTCTGAGCTATCTGAGAAAATCAAAAACGTTGAAACAAGACTGTCAGCTATGCCCGATGTTGACGAAAAACGAAGTGAAGGCTTGAGAAAGAAGCGACAACGAGTGCAGAAAGAGGTTGGTACCAAGTAATTTCAGGCCACTTTCCATGACTTTGAGAGTTGCGGTAATGCCGCTTGTATTGCAGAAGGGCCAAATATAGGTTTTGCGGTAGTTTTTTATCGGTGCCAGAAATGAGCGTCTGTACTGTTAAAAATTGAGAGCGATTCATCTATAACTGTGAAAGTGCATTGGCCTCGTTACTAGACCAATATTAGTTTTTAGGTCGAGGCTTTGCGACAAACTTGTTCGAAAGCCGAAGAGTTTGAAGAGATTGAGCGAGAAGTAGAGAGGAAAGCTACTAAGAAAGAAGAGCTCGATAACGAACTTAATGCTCTTCTGGAGAAGCATGCAGACGCGTTCATTGCAAGTTTTGGAAAGAAAACAAATGGACCTTGGAGGTAAGCACTTTCAATCAATTGCAAACATTTTGAATCGGCTTTTTTGAACTTTTTTTTAATGAGTTGGTGGCATATTTCAGTCATTTCTTATTATTGGAATTTTGGTAAAGGTTTTCCCCTATGCAGTAGTAGTACTCTACACTTACTGCATCTCTTTAGAGGCAATGGCTTCTCAAATAGGACCTGTTGAATTTTGACAGTGATGGGTACTAGACCTCCTAATACACTGTAGCCCCAAGCCCACTCTCCATCCATGTGCTAAGTTTTGAAAACGGCTCAAAAGCCACCATCCCGCCCACTTCCGTCGTGAAGGCAAACGGTGAGCTTTTGGAACGTGTATGATTCAGCGCATGAATTAGAAGTGGGGTTTAAGCTACGGTACGGTGGGTCTACTACTTAGCATTGCTAATATCTGACGAGATTTATTTGCGGAGCCATTGCCTCAACTGCCACAGCGATCTGCTTCGCACATTGGTCCGCCGGCCTCTTGACATTCGTGTTTTCTAACTTGTTCGGAGACAAAATTCATATATCCTATGCTCAATTGCGTTCAGCTCTTCTGTAAATGCTCTTGTGAAATCCGGAGAAGAATCAAATCGACTGATTGAAAACGATTTACGAAGAAGCGAAAGAGATCTGGACCGCACAACTCAAAGTTTGGAACAATCGCGAACAGAAGAAGAGCAGTTACTTGGTGAAGTTGAACAACTACGGAAGAAGATTTTTGATGTTCGTATAATTGCGTAGTACAGCTAAGTTGTTTGAAATTCTGATATATGTGATTTAGCTGTGCGGATGCTCTTCGCAAGATGTAGCTGAGAATTTGTCAGAAACTCGCCATCTACTTATCAAAGCGAGGAAGGAGCTAGCTTTGCTCAAGACAAAAGCTGTGAGCCTTATTTCCGAAGATAATCACCTATGGTGACCCTGCTCGGACATTCTAGACAATGTATGAACAATGGAGTGAGGAAACGAAGACTCGTTCCTGCTGTCCGCTTTGTGAACGCAAATTTGCAAACAAAGCTAGTGCCAGTGAGCTGTCCGGGAAGGTCTGCATAACGTTGGTCTGCGCACTGTGACTTGATTTTGTTTAGCTTTTGGATATGAGCTTGTCGATGCCAGACGACATCCAGAAATTAGAAAAACAGGTTGCAGAAGCTGAAGAAAAAGAGCGGCTCCTTGCAAATGCTGTTGTCTACGTCGATCAGTGCAAGTGAGTCGTTGTAGTAAGTTTCAGTTTGTGACATTTGTAGAGAGACATCGATTTCTTTAGAAAAATTATGGAGGAAAAAGTGCGACATGTAAGGAAGCAGATTAGTGATTACCGTAAGCAAGAAGCATCTCTCACTACGAAAGTCGAGGAGTTAAAAGAAAACATGGAAAAGGCTATGAACAAACATAAGCTGTTGCTTGAGATCAAGGTACCGTCTTTGAATAGTGGGTTCGTGGCTAAATCTGACTTTTCAGTCTGATGTATCGCTGATGGATTCTTTATTCACATCAGCTCAAGCACTCGACAACGAGCTGAACGAATTGCGAAGAAGCCTCAAGCCCTCTGTACATAAACAGCCCTTGTCAGAACTGAAGAAAGAACTTTCTGCGAAAGAGGTGTTTTTACGATAAAGTCGGTTGCATACGGCTTTGTTCATACTTCACGCGATTTCAAACGCGACGCGATTTGGTTAAAATTTGGTTTATAACTCATCGTAGGCGCGTTCTATATGTGCAGAAGAAGGAGCGTCATCATTCCAAACAATTTATACATACTACGCATCAGTAATCTGCGAGTGTGGGATTTCAAGAGAGATGAAAGTTGCCAGATCGCGGGGCGATTGAAATCGCGCGGATTATGTGCAGGGCTTAGAAGTTAATCCTTCGAATTCAAAGCGTATTTGTTGGCCTTTTGTTTCAAACAGTACCGAGTTTTGCTTTAGGGGTCTATCGCTTCTGTTTCTGCAGAGCTGGACGAGATGCAGGTTACTGTAGCCGAACGGAACAAATTGACAACAGAGGTCAGCTTAGAAAAGATTCATTATTAGTCACAAATTTTTTTTCAGTTACACGCGTTCAAGGAGCGCCGAATAGCTCTTGGAGAGTTGACCGCGCAAACGGCTCATTTGAACGAAACACTAGTGCGACATCGTGAAGAGCTTGCAAAACTGTCTGCAAGGCGTGACGCGATTGCGAAAACTGAGCTGCCACAAGCTAACAAGACCTTGAATGTGAGTTTTCATGTGCGCTTTACATGTTGGTCAAGAATATGGAAGGTGGTTTGGTAGTCAATTTCACTTCACTCTGTCTGCTTTTTGAGTTTAGAGCATTTACAGGATGCTAAAAATGCTCGTGACACAGCTGAACGTTTTGCCAAGGAACAGGAGGAGATAAAGCTTTTAGGAATAAGAAGTAAGTTCTTGCACTGAGTCAAACCTGCGTAGCTTTCACCATATCTTTGGCTAATTTCTAAACTTATTACTCTAATTTTTTGATCATTTGCAGAAATCTGCGATCATTATAGCGCTTATAACACGCTAAAGGAGAGGCTGTCGAAAGCATCACTGGCTGCTAAGGAAGGACAAGTAAACTACCTCTCTCAGGGATTGATAAAGAGCACTGATTAGCCAAGTTTTTGTAGGTGGATGCTCTGAAACTACGCATTACTGAGAAAGATCAGTCTATTATTGATCTAGAGAAGAGAAAAGCTGGTTTTGAGCTGGGAATCAATGATTTGGAAGGGACTGTAAGTTTGATTTCAGGATTAGCCGAGAAAGAATCCATGTGTTCAGCACGTCAAGCGTCGCACGCTAGAAGACCAGCTAACACGGATGCTGGTCGAGAATAAGGTTGCGGTGCTTGAAAAAGAGCTCAAGGATTTAGTTTGGAACGTTGAGGAGAAAGAGGCTTTGATTCAAAAGCGTTTGGTAGGTTCTTCCTTGAAATACTGGTTATATCGGCTTCATTTTGTGACCTACAGGAAGCAACTCGTGATCGGGACCGTTCAGGTTTGGAGAAAGCACGACTTCATGGACAACTGGAAGAAGTAGAGAAGAAGGTTTGAAGGATTTTTTGTTGCTTTTGGGAGCTTACTTCCAACCTGAGACGCGCTATAGTAGGCTTTGCTTCTTTCTCTCTTTTGAGCCTTATACCCATGATATCATTATTCGTCAAGCCCTTCAGACAATCTGTTCTCTGTTTTCTGTGCAGTGCTGTTGCATCATTGGTGTTTGTTTACAATGGGGTAAATTCATATTATCTCAAAAATTATTTTGGAATTTCCTTAAGTCATTTTTTTACCGCTCCTGTTTTTTCTACATTGTGTTTTTTCGAGGCTTATCAAGAGCCCAGCATGGTTTTTCAGATCAGCGAGGCCAAATTAGCTTTATCTTCAAAAGAAATGAAACAAGCTGAAAAGCTTTATCACGATGTTATGGTTGACAGAATCGTAACTCAGGAAATGATCTCGGTAAATGATTGACCAGACCGACATCAAAATCTATTTTAATTGAATTCAGGATCTGGAGAAGTATATGCAGTGTCTTGACGTTTCTATCATCCAATTTCACACAGAAAAAATGGCTGCCATTAATATGATATTAGATGACTTGTGGCGAAAGGTTTATGGTGGAAGTGATATACAAACGATACGCATAAAGTGAGTGATTAAATTTGCATGATTAAAATGTTGTGCTATTACATCTAGGTCTGAATGCGTGACGTCTACGGAGAAGCGGAAAGCATATGACTACAGAGTTGTGATGATAGTCAATGATGGTGTGGAACTTGATATGAGAGATCGATGTAGTGCTGGACAGAAGGTGAGCCAGCTCCATTCCGCATTAGTAGGTCAAGAAACCTAAAATCGTAAATCTCATCACGATCAGTATCAATTCCGTACGATAGCGCCCTTTCATGGGTGCACGGTGACCTCCATAGAATGGCCTAGCGTGCGAATTTGATGTGATATTTGTAATCGCGTTCGAATATCTCCTCTGCAATTAATGAAATCCACCATTCCAATTTTGATTTGATGTGCTGGTGTGGGTAAACTCATATGTTGGCTATAAAAACATGGCTTATATCTGTTATTGTAGATGTTGGCATGCATACTGATCCGTATTGCTTTGGCTGATGTATTTGGAGGAATGTGCTCAATCATAGCTCTCGACGAACCAACGACCAACCTAGACGCGAGAAAAGTAAGCGATAGTGTATTCGTGGTTGATAAAATGTAGGACTTCTGTTTCCGTTAGGTAGACCATATCGCTGCCATGCTTAACAGCCTTGTTGCTGTACGCAGAAGAGGCTACTCAGGTTCTGATGGCCAGAAGAAACCTTTTCAGGTGAGCTTCATTTTTTAGACAGTTGCAGTTCGTACCATTTTGATGTTTTAGATGATCATAATCACTCACGATGATCGTCTAGTGGACAGACTTATGATCGGATCAAAGCCGGAGTTTATTTATGTACTTGAGAAAGACTGCTATGGAATTTCGCATGTGAAGAGGCAATACTCAGACGGGTAAGCTTTTTTTCAAAACTAGCAACATCAAAAGGTGCATTAGTTCCAAATTTTTGCCGGAATGGTGCTAATTCAGGCGCGCAGAGGAGGCCAATGGACATGAGCGCTATCGTAATGGTCACCGCTGAACTATTAAATTCATGTCTGAAATGATTATTTATCATTGGTATTATCAATGCAACTCGGACTCACTCCAATTGCATGCACTGAATCTCATTTTTTACATTTTTCTGTGACTGTATGGTAATATACAACTTATCATTTTCCTTTTCTTCTTTTGTTGAGTCTAGGTCTCATTACCTGGTTACAACCTGATTTCTTCTTTTTTTAGAACCTTTTTAGAAGCATGTAAACACATCTGTGTCATAATTTGCCCATTTATCGGGTGATCCTATCTCGGTTCATGTAACGTGTCCTTGCCCGATATTGGAAGTTTAGTATATATGCATGTTTTGTTATTTGTTATGAAAAAATTTTTTTGAAGTTGTTTGTTGCTTGAAATATAGAAGAAAGCGTATTGTAGCCGTACGCTCAGTCGCGTTTCCATGCGGTTACGAATGTGATTTGGTACAGGCAGTTGACGAGGACATTGTGAGTGCGAGAGGGGGGGGGGGGGGGTGAGGGGGCAAGAGGCCATTGAGACGGAATAGAAAGCCATCCGGCCATCGCCAGAGCATCTGAAATCTCAGCAGTGGAGCAAGAGCTGTGCCAAACATTAATAAGATCTCGTTAAGCAGTAGAAATATAAACTCGCAGCAAAGTATTCAAATCTCTGTCCATATAGAAAGCAGGCTGAGCAAGCCTTAGTAAAGTCAGCATCCACAGGCAAGGCTGGCGTCGCCCATGTGCGGACGTTGTGCCAGGACCGCTCCAGCGCCGTGCCGGAACTACGTGCGCGCGCACTCTTTCGATGGACCGACGTTCCAGTACCGCGCTGGCGCAGGTGGCACCTGCAACTCCGAACACAGGCTAATTCGTACAATTCTAGGCTGGATGGGTATTCAATCAGGGAGATGCATGAAAATCTATCGTGTCATTGGAGCTTTGAATAGGTGCATTGAGGGATGAGCGCACAAGCGGAAACATGGAATCTATCCTGTTCAGGCCTAAAAACATTCATTCGATAGATATCTTTTCTAGCTATGCCATTTCTGCTGTTCGTGAAAAGACCAAACACAGGGCGTTTAGACAGTTTTTGGGAAAAAGTGGGTTGTGGCACGCAGGCCAAAAGGCGGAGGTGGGCTACTTCCGAAGACTCTAGATTTTATGCAGGGATTCCTCGTTGCTAAGTGCGGCTTCAGTTGGGGACTGGTGATTCTGTGGTGATATAAGACATTGATAATGGAATATTAATCAAATAATTTAGGCATACAAATTAATCAAAGATAGAAATAAAAAAGAGAATAGAAATAGATACTAAAGATAAAGATTTAAGAATTTGGCGTTTTCAACAAGTAGTCGATTTCCAAGTCAGTACTTTTATCCTTTCAAGTTACTCTGGTACCAATTTACCGGCCCCGGAGGGTAGTGGGCTTGGTGAACCCAGGGGCGGGATCAAACCTGGGTACGATCAGATCATAGCGGTGCCTCATATCACTACGCCAATTTCCTCCGGAAAAATACAAAATATAATAGATAGAAATAAGTATAATTAATTATTTCACTAAGTATCAATTAAATTACAACCTTAATCAAAGATATGATACATATTGAGCTTTTAAATTTGAATCGATTCAGAAACCTGCTGGAAGCAGACGCGCCAATCACTAGCTACCTGACAAGCAGAAATTTCTTCTTTATGGGGGGGGGAGATACGATAACATTTTTTGAGAATGAAGGGGTTTCTAGAAGCTTGCTTTCCGAATTTTCGGGTGATATTAGTTCAAAAAATGCCTTGTCCTCGGTCTACCGTCGGTCAGCCAATGCTACCAACCTAATACTTCCCTTTTCATTTCCCTCTCCTCTACTTGCTCCAACCCTCTCCCCCCCCCCCCCCTCCTCCCCCACCCCTCTTTCCTTTTCCAGTCTTCTTTAAAACTTCCATAAGAGTTTTGCTAAAAATATGTAGCGAGACCGGCTTTTTTTGAGACTTTAGAGAGAAATGTCTACTTGTTGAGGGGTGTGGTGAGTGTTTCCGGTCTAAGCGCACGAGCAAAATGTGTTTGCCGACAGTGTTAGGGTATGTGCAAGACTCACACGTCATTATACACGATCTCTCAAGTGTGTTCATCCACTTGAATTTTACAAACAATAACTAGCCGACAGCCATTCTTCCGCCCATCATCTCGCAATCGATTCTTGTTCTTCTCACAAACTTGATTCTTTATACATATGTCCATTGTACTTTCGAGAGGATACATTTTTAGATAGCTTCTAGGATAATTTTATTTTTTTCGATTCGATTCGAATGATTGTTTACGAGAGTCACAAAAATTTATCTACTGCTTTTGTCTAGTTTCCTCCTTTTTCCTCCCTATTTTATCTCATATCTCATTTATCCACAATATTCCGAATAAATGCGTGTCAGTCATCACACTCAGGATTAAAAACTTTGTGAACTGAGCATTTATTACAAATATCCTTTATGGAACGCCAATGTCGATGAGAGATTTTCGAAAACTTGTATGTTTTGATAATTCTATTTTTTGTCTCACCTGTTCTGGAGGAACATGCTGAGGCAATCTGATCAAATCAATAATGAATAATTGAAATTAGAACTTTTTATTCTTCATCACGAATATTTTCAATGCAAAAATTGATAGAAGATTTTTGAATGCTTACATTTATTAATTTATTTTGGTTCAATTCTTTCTGCCACGGTATGGCCTTAGAAAGTAACTCTTCTCGTCCTTGCCCCTACTCAAACAATGCACGGAAAAATATCAAAATGGCCCTTGTTTTCCTAAATTCACTCCATATTCACGTCATATATGTTACTACAGTACCCACACTAATTATTCGACAGAAAATGAAAAAAAATGACAATCCGCGTTTTTTTCGTTCTCACAATTACTGACCTTCGAACCCACGTGCTTAGGCAAAAACGCTCAAATTATGCAAATCACGCAAGCTACGCAGCCCATTAACTTCCTTCTGATCCGAAAAAGCATTGAGCTCAGCTGTCAGGCATGTTTTCTGATATACTACACTATTTTGTATTTGTCAAAATTTGATGAAATTTGTATGTATTTGGAGCTATTCAGTTATGGTAACGAATTTTCAATATAAAAAAATACGTTTGTTTTTCTTAAGGGTTCCACAAATTTTTCACTACATTAAGATCTTTTTGGTAATCCAGTCCCATTTCATCCTATTGGTCCACGTTCCGGTCCGTTTATAGGTCTCTTTATACGCAAAATTGCTCGCAAACTATGAATAAACTGGAGCTACAATCTCGCATCAGTTGAGTAATTCACAGTCTGTAAATAAAGAGTTCTTAATTAAAGAATGAGTGAATTTTGCAAATCTTAGGTAAATAGAGCTTAAGCTAGAACTGCTGGAGAAGAAAGAGTGGAATGATACTTTTGCTCAATCAAACGAGAGGTTCTCTTTCGATATATGAAATAAATCTACTACAAATAGCGCTGAAACTTACAAAGAAAAAACTGTGCTTTATATCTGCCTAGAATGTGAGAGAGTTCATTTCTTTTTTGAAAAGTCAAGTCATGGTGCAATATGGTCAAAATGTCGTAGTATCTATGTTAGTATGAAACTTTGATGTCTGACGTGTTGATATCCTATTTGATATCTTGATATTTATGCAATTTTTAGAAAATGATTTCTTTTGTCTAAGCAGAGGAGTCACAAATTTTCGAAGAGATTTTACAGCCAATGAAAGGTTACTCCTGCGTTCAATATTTACTTATCATTGAACAGCGAGCTTGCAAGAGCAGAGATGTTTGGTTTGCGTGATAAACTCCAGCAGGAGATTAGAGTACAGAATTCCCTAGCACCTGTTTTGCTAATTCCCTCTTCTCCACAAATTTTACTTGCCTTATTATATGGCTGGGTCAAAATAGATTTAGCACATTCACGAAAAAACGACCCACCGATGGTCGTAAGATTTCTGAAGCTCTAGCTTTGCCAGTTTACGATGTAATTCTGCGGGATTCTGGCACATGATTTGGGACTCCTAGGTGAATCCAACCAGAGTGATTTGGGCTTGGGAATCTGCGACGTGATTTACGGTAGGTATAAAAGATAGAAGTAGATAGAAGATAGATAGAAATATGGCACAGATTTTAGCTCATATTTGCAGATTGATGCTGTTTCTGAAAATTCAAGTGCACGAGTAATATGGGGCGAGAAACTGATGTTAGCCCTTCAACAAATAAGCGATTTTATTGATTTTTTGCGTTGTTCATCCCAGATGCTCGAATCTTACATAAATAGATTTTGTAACATGCTGATTACGAAAATGATAGTCTCAAGTTCAATACCGCCTTCTTACACCAGTTTCTTGATTCTTACGAAAATCTACCGTACTGTGCTACCGTAGCCCCGCTTGGGACAGCAATGAACAAAATGGACACTATAATCGTGACTAGCACATGCCAATAAACAATTTTCACGATCATGATGTTGGGATGGTACAAAATGACGTAACCTACCTTATAATGCCGGAGACTGAAATAAACCATGATTTAAAATCAGGGCCTTCGATACCCGTCTGGGAAAATTTCGCAAAGTCACATTTTGAATCTTTTTCCAAAAAGATTACCATTTCGGACAATACGACCCACGGGTGGATCGTAAGTTTGACAGAGCGAAAAAAGCTCTGGTCCAAAATGGCAGTAATCGAAAAATCGGTCTTGTCGTGAATATTTTAATGGAACGAATCACGAATCGCTATTCATTACTGTAGGATTACGGTGAACAATTTTAGCACTTATTGCAAAGACCATTTGTCTGAGTGACTGGTGTCCCTAGTGGCGAAGTTTCTGAAGGAAAAGTGTGTAAGCCTAAGGTTGTTTATATGAAGAAATCTAAGTTTTGGGGAGTCTTTGCAAAACAGAGCAGCTCTTTTTCTGCAGGATCTTTTTCTGGAGAACGGGAGAGGGAGAAAGTCTCTCTCTAGTGAAGGTCCATGCTTTAGCCATCCCTCTGAAAGGAAGTCTTTGGGAGCTTTTCTAAGCTGCATTAACTGGCAGCGGCTCAAAAGATATCGAAAGCATTAGCGTTGGAAGCAGCATTCCTCAAATCTTCGTCATTCAATTTTTGTCAAGGCTTTTTTCGAGGCCTTGAGGTGCAAATTGCGCAAAGCCTCGAAAAAGCCGACTTCTGGGAGCTATCTGGGTGGGCGGAGCTTAATAGGATGGGCGTGGCTTGAGTGAACTTTTGCGGGTTCTAGATACATGTCTTCCGTCCAGGAGCCACATTAGTAGAGGACGAAGCGGATGTCTTACTTCTAAAGTCTTCTTGTAGTCTAGATGCTAATCGGAGG